GGGGGTGAGGTGAGGAGTTCAGGATGGTGAGATGCAACAGAACTTGTAGTGTGTGCATGAACAGACTCAGTGTTCTACACCTCTCCCTCTCCCAAACAAATTACACATCCTCAGACAATTAAAAAAAAAAAAAAAGTCTGTACAATGGTACAATGGCAAGGGAAATACCTGAATACTATCATACTGTATGATTACAAGAGTAACGTGAAATTTTTACTTTTTTATCCTCTCTAAACTGACATTTTATCTGAATAGCAACAATTCTTCCAACTTAATTCATTCTCAGTACATCATTTGTAGTTCTCAAACACGGCTAACAAAGAAACTAGAAAATACAAGGATAGCTTCAAATACATGAGGAAATGTCCAGTGTTCTTTCAGAGCAGCTCTGAAATACCTTCATTAAAAAACACATCCAATTTACATCCCAGTGAGTCACTACATTCGACTACCATTGCCAGGTCCACAAATAGTTTTAAAGTAACAAAATAAGCCATGCATATTAAAGACATTTTAAAGTAACACTGTAATGAAAAGAGAAAGGGATTAGTGTTCAACTCCCTATGTATGCAAACTGGAGAAAAGGAAACTCACAGAAAGACCAAATCCTGTTTACAATAGACATATGACCAGAATCGCCTATGAGGAGCATTAGCTGCAGCCTCCTGACAATGTCTGTCTGAGGAAGCCTCTCTGTGTATAACCCTGTACCATGAGCCCCATTTTGCAACCACGAAACAAAACAAACAAGGAATCACAAACTAGATTTCAGTTGTGAGCATTTTAAAAGCTCTGGCTGGAAAGCAGCAGACTGAAGGAGACAAACTCCCTGTAAAAGCAGCAGCTGCTATCTAAAATACTCCCATAATTATTTAACAACAACTTACAGAAAGCCCACAAAAAATAAAGTCACTTCTTTAAAGGAAGGGTGTTTCCTTGTCGTGCCAGGCTGTATTTTCCTGGCCAGCCACTGAAGTCTGAGGTACGGAGCTGTCTCTTACCTGAGCTGATCATACTGTGCATTCTTTGCTGAGCCAAGAGCTGTTCACGTCCAGAAACCCCATCTGAGGAAAAACACGATTCACTCTCGTAAATTGTCTGCAGCATATTCCACCGGTCTGCACTTCAGCTACATGAGAGATTCATCACTGCACTTGCACAGGGGTGTCAGGCACGACCCTCTGTGGTCCTACCTCCTCCAGCGAGGGCTGTAAGATAATACGCTTCGGCAATTAGCAATGTTTAAGCGTTTGCACAAGTATCTATCGGGAGAGGGGAAAAAACCCAAATCCACTCTCGGCAGCCCCCGCCCGCTGGAAGGGAGCCGTGAGCGCGCAGGGGGCTGTGCGCCGCCGACTTTGAGCAGTTGCGTTCGGGCAGCCAACGGCAGGTGGAAGAAGAAATGAAGAAATATCTCTGCGCTTTGGGCTTTCTGGTGGGGCGGGGGGGAAACAGAGCCTCTTACAAACCATCAAACCGAATAAGCCACCTTTCCAGGGACCGGGAGCCCCTGAGGGTTTAGTCTGAATTACCCCAGCCCGGACCAGCGCTGCTGTCCCCGCGCCCCTCTCCTCTCCCCGGCCGGCTCTCCCTTGGCCGGGCGGCTGGGCGAAGTTGGCGGGAGCAGCAGCGATAACTCATTTGCATTTGAATTGACACCCGCACGGCCCAGCAGCGGCAGAAATAGAACAATGGCTGGCCTGAGCCAAAAATAGGTCAAGCATGGCCGGGTGATTGGAGCCTGCATTAATGCGTTTAAAAATACCACAGCAAACACAGCTGTCCAGTCTCTGTCTTTCAAACCGCCGGTCTCGTCCTCCCTCCGCTGCTCGGCCTCGAGCGCGATTAACCCCTTCCCCCTGCCAAGCCCGCTGCGGTGGGGAGAAGCCAGGGAAGGAGGAAGGGAAGGGAAGGCAGGGAGCGGGACAGAAATGCTCCTGGCACGGGACTCAGGCCCCTCTCCCTCCCTGCCCTCCCCCGGGGAGTATTTTGTGAAAAGTGAGCAAAACGCCACGGCCTCTGTATCGGTCCTAAAATAACGGCGGGAGGTTTTGCTGGCGATGTGGTTTCTGCCTCGCCCACGCGCAGCCATCCTGCTGTTCTATTTTTGCTGCCTGTTTCTCTGGCTACGCCGCAGTTGGCTTTGGCAGGGGAGCCAGGCTGCTGCCTGCTCCCTGCAGGACCTGCAGCCGCCTCGGGAGAGGCGATTTCTGAAGCTAATCGCGTTGTGGGGAAGCAGAAGGTGGGGGCAGATGTTAACGAGGGACTGGATTTTGTGCGTGCAGTTGCAAGCAGCCTTTCCGTATTTAGCATGCTTGATAGAATTCTTATAGTAAGGCACCACTTGTGGCACAGCACGTTAGACACACTTACCAACTATGCACCGTTCGGTTGACTTGCTAAAATTTGGAGAGGGGCTGAGCAGCTCACACTTATTTTTAGAAGCATTAGGCAATTTGCGCGGCGTCTTTCTCAGTTTTACACGATGATGTGGTTTCAGAAGAACAGCGTCTGACAGCGTATCAGACAAGAGCACCATGCTTCTCTGTGTCTTGGCAGGTTTCACGCATGCCATGTGAAGTTTATTTTTCATAAAGCTATTTCAAAAGTTACGTATCTTGTTTGCTGATTAATATACCTACAGGTAGGTAAGTTTAATTTCACTGTTACAGACGGTACTTTACTTCTCTGAGTCCTGCTCTGCCTTGTTACTTGTTACACAGGTGACCAAAGCCTGTCACTACCTACATGTGTGATACAGCAGCCTGACCACTCACATACCAAAATTACAAGTCACCTTCCATGTCCCTGCTCTGAGGGAGCAACAGTGGCCAGAGGGACACAGTTCCTCACTGTAATCAAGAAGCCAACACAGAGGTTGTCTTGGAGCTTTCTAGAAATCCACCAAATTCTTAATTATCTCCAGCATTTTTTGCTCCTGAAGACACGAGAATTTGCCCAATACTCGAGGTTTGGTTTTCTGCCTTTCAGCAAGGGATTGTCCGTCTGCTCTTCAACTAACATGATAGATCATAGCCAAGGGCAATATTACGGGTTTTTTAAGCTTCTCACAATTGTGTTAGCGAAGAGATTCACAATAACGAAGTACTGTGACACTTCTGTGACGTTTGGATACTCAGTGGCACCTGGGAGGTCTGTGGCTCCATCATCCCAAACCTTTGCTTCCTTCATATGCCAAAGGCCCTGGTCCTGCACAGAGTGAGGATCTATCTCTCAGACAGACGGAGACCACAGCAGCTGACAACGGGGTTTTCCCTACAGGATCCTCAAGTTAGCACCTATTGCTGCTGGACATGCCCCTCCCCTTGCCTTCTCTCTTCCCTCCCCCTGCAATTTTCCCCAGGAGCACTCCTCCTGGGGAAGTGATGAAGCTCTGCAGATGGCATACACCCAGCTCTGCAAAGGGGCAGCGGCTGCACAGCGACAGGTTGGGTGTTACAATGTAAGACGGGATGAGCATCACAAATGCCATCAAACATTTTCTCTGGGAAATAAAGAAAAAAACCCAAATGTTTTGTGGGAAATACATGGCACTTTCAGAGTACAGGGCAGAGGATGTTTAACATGAGTGCAATGGGAACCACCAGTAGAAACAGAAATCTTTAACACAGAAAAAGCTTTCTTATGAGTAAATAAAAAAGTGGAATTGCTTATGCCCTTGAGCCAACCAGTACATGATCCTGTTTAGTGATTCAGCACCTCAAAATAATCAAGTCTTATATTACAAGGAAACACTGGAGGAACAAGTTAAAAACAGGTCAAAACATGGAAAATTGTGGAATGTGGGATCGTGGTATTAGGTACCCATATGTGTTTATAACTTCTTATATATGCAGCTGCATTTTTAAAGATAGCATTCACAGCTCTAACTGACTTCAAATATGTCAGTAAGTAAATAAAAGAAAATTATATTCAAGAGGAGAAAATGTACATTCAGATATTTAGCTGCAAGAATTCTTAATTTTGGTGTATGTATTTTAAACTGATGGACACATAAACTATCCTATGTTAGCTAATTCACACACCATAATAACTACAAAATTGTGCTTTATATTTTAGATGACATATAAAAATTATATCAAAATATTTTACTTATGAAGTCAGTCACCCCAAAGGTAGGGACTTTTACAACCTGAATTCTTCTGACATGCTTTGACGTATTACAGGCCTACTTTGGTACATGCTTAGCTTTAAAACACATGTGTAAATCCATCCCTTTTCAACATCATATTTAAGCACATGCTCAAATTCTATTGGTCGCAATAGAATTTAAGCACATAGTTAAACACTTTGCTGAGTCAGCCCAGCCTTTAACTACATGATCACATGAGTTTAAATAGTTCCTTTAGAGTCCCAAAGGGGAAGGATAAAGGGCTCATGCCTGAAGAAAATCTGGTTTTTATTTTTAAAGCTATGGATGTTATAAGGTGACATTTTCATACAGGAACATGAGGGGTTTTTGTTGTTTTTTCAAGTGCATTTCCTAAACTTGGAGAAGTATAATGACACTGGAGGTAAGAGTAAACTGTTGAAAGGATTTAGTGCCACTGAGGTGACTCTAAATGCAAAGAGCAACTTTATAGAAAGCGTAAGGCATGTTAGTAGCACTAAGATCTCATTACAGGGGTTTCACAATGTGTTTCCCTTATTTTCCTTCTGAGTTGTTAAAAACAAATAAATATAAGGAAATTAAATCTGGAAACCACATTACTGCAACATTAAGACTGAGAAATTAAGCACTCAAATTAGAAAGAGCTAAGATTTCTACTGCATTATTAACTCTGCAGCATTATAATGAAGTAGAACTTTTTTCTTCTTACTTTCCTTTTTAAGTACAAACAGTATATTACTGGTTGCTTTTAGCATATCCCATTTCTCACTTACAATATTCTGGAGCATAGCTTTCATTAATATTAATAGCTTAGCTTCAACTTTTGCAGTTTTCTTACTTGTAAATGAATTCTTGCATAGATTTTTCTACCATATTGCTCAGTTGTATTACATAAATATTACATACAAAATTAAACAAAGAGATGTTCTCTAGCTTCTAGTCACATGCTTAAATGAGGATACCACGGTCTTACAAGTGCCCCATTCAACCTTACTTCAGTCCCTTTTTCATCTGACAAGTGAAAACGCAGCAAGTATTAACATGCAGCAATATCAAACAATGCATAAACAAGTGGGAGCTAAATTAAGGTTGAATGGATAGCATTAAATCCGGCCTATTTCAGTACTGAAGGTTTAAATTCTAATCTCTGCATCCTAAAGAGCTCCTAACTATTTGTATATCTAATCACCAGGATTAAAAAAAGAAAAAAATTAACTATTGTATACAACAGATGTTTCTATAGCCACATTCATTAGATACTATTAGTACCACATGAAACCCAAACATCCAGCATAAATTACTACAGCTTATACTAAAGGATTAACTAGGTTAACAAACAGAAGAAGAATATTACCACAAAGAAGCAGATGGTTTGAGAGCCGAAAGAAATCAGGGGAGATGCTCAAGTGGTCTGGTTCTGCTCCCTCCTGGAACTAAGGGACTGTATTACAAGCCTCTGGGGGAGTTAAAACGGATCACTTAATCCACGTGCTCTGGATGGGAAGATGTAGTGTGGGAAATGTCTCTGATCAGTTTTCTGTGTAGCAAGCCTTTGGTGTTGCCTGTGCAGGAATATGTGTTGCTTTTTCTTTGCAGTGCTGTGAAACCACGTGATGGGCATTTTTCAAGTGAGGAGAAAAATGTGTTTAAGCTCAATTCAAGCTTCAAAGGAATTTTCTGGGACAAAGAAAGGCATATCTGTAGCTTTAGGGGATTTTCTGACAAACAATGGGAGAATAAAACTTTACAAATTTTTGAGGATAAGGAGTGCTATGCTAGATAAATGTATGGGTCTCCATCATCTCTCATACAACAATACAGAGAGCCTCACATTTTTTTCATGCAAATCAGCTCAGGGTTTTAGAACTAGCTGATGACTTATCACTTCTTTCTCCTCTTAGAATATGATTTTCTGTGCACGTAAATAAGTCTACTAGAAATTAAGTCCTAGATTCAGGACAAAACCTCAACAACACATACTTGATTATAAGCACGAGGCTTAAATTAAGCATATGCTCAAGTGCTTCATAAATTCAAAGGTACCTTCCTGAATCGCAAAGTTCAAATAATTTAAAAAATCAGAGAGGGCTAGCAAATAAATAAATAATATTTATCTTAGGAAATACATACACAATCCAATTATTCTGCTGACACCTTTATTTATCAGGTTGGAACTAAAATCCCCATAGTTTGCGGCAAGGCTGAGGTAAACTGAATACAAACAATACAAGCCATGTAGTGAAAAGCAAGGTCAGATATTAACAAATAAAAGTCTCAGACTTTGCACCTTTTATGCTGTTAATGAGGCAAGTAGAGATATGAGCAATATGAGATTTATCAGGTTTTCCATGGTTACGCCCAGCTTTCTTGGCGAGACGTTAGTGCATACGTGCACTGCGTTTGCCATGTCTAGCTCCACCAGACTCACTTGGATTGACATACAAAAAGGAACCCTAGAGCACATGACCTATGAGAGTTTGCAATATATTACCTGTGACAGCTTGCAATACATTCAGCGTACTTTAGGCATTTCAAGCTTGTTGCGCATCTACTGAGCGGATAATCTGTACCTCCATACAGGA